TTTTTTTTTTTTTTTTTTTTTTTTTTTTTCCGCCTGTGTTTCTCTGATTTGGAGCTTTGATTTCTAATGCGGCGGCAACGGTTTAGACTCCGGACCGGATGTTTACATCGTCCTAAAACGGCGTCGTATGGAGGTCCGTCACATACCTTTTCGACGTGTTGCTCCTGTGGAGGTGAACTTTCTCTTATTGTCTTATCTGCACCTTGACGACAAGTCGTTCAATTATTCTTTCCATAGAGATTCAAAAAAGAATTCTTTTTTCCTCATTATTTCTTTATTATAAATTTTCATCTTTCAAAATATTTAAATTTTAAGCAAAATTTCATAAAAAAATAAATGTTTCAAAACTACATTTAATTTTTTAAATCTTAACTTAAATTTTAAAAACATTTATAAAATATAACAAACAAAAATACTCTGCTTAATTTTAAAATATATATATATATATATATATATATCGAACAAAATAAGTCATTTAGGGTGTATATCGATTACGTGTGCTTTATCACTTTTACATCAAATAAAAAGAAATGTATTAATATTACGTGTAGATCTTAGACTTTTAAAAAATATCTAATAAGTCTCTAAACTTTTAAATTTATGTCTATTTGATCCCTAAACTTAAAAAAAAAAAAAAAAAAAAATTACCATATTTCAACTTTTAATCTAACTTATTCTATGTTTTTTTAAATTCACAGTCTAAAATTCAATTTTATATTGATAAATTTATTATTAAAAAAAAAAAAAAAAAATTACCATATTTCAACTTTTAATCTAACTTATTCTATGTTTTTTTAAATTCACAGTCTAAAATTCAATTTTATATTGATAAATTTATTATTAAAAAAAAAAAAAAAAAATTACCATATTTCAACTTTTAATCTAACTTATTCTATGTTTTTTTAAATTCACAGTCTAAAATTCAATTTTATATTGATAAATTTATTATTAAAAAAAAAAAAAAAAAATTACCATATTTCAACTTTTAATCTAACTTATTCTATGTTTTTTTAAATTCACAGTCTAAAATTCAATTTTATATTGATAAATTTATTATTAAAAAAAAAAAAAAAAAAATTACCATATTTCAACTTTTAATCTAACTTATTCTATGTTTTTTTAAATTCACAGTCTAAAATTCAATTTTATATTGATAAATTTATTATTAAAAAAAAAAAAAAAAAACTAAATATGTCAAAATTTACTTACAAAATAGAAAGTTATGTAATCAAATATAATTTCAAATATCATAAAGAAAAGGAAATGTTGACTTAAAATAAATAAATGCAAACAATACCATAAAATACTAATTATTAGCAACTTAAAAATCATTTATGTAAGTTAAAAATGGGTTCTTACTCTTGATTTGAGAGCTATCACTTGTAACTTCTCAGCTCAAGTCCTCAACAACTGTTCTGTTCATGAGAAGTTAAGAGATCAAGCAGATTATAAGATGAAACTTCATGTTGCAGGAAGATGCAAGAAAAAATGAACCTTAAGAACAAATCAGGGCCTAAGTAGCCAATATTATCAAACAAAGGAGCATTAAGAAATGGAAATATACTAAAGGTAACTAGAGTAGCAAAGGAATTATCAACATTCTTGCCGATTAGCTACTGCCATGGAAGGTTATTGGGAGATGAAACTTCATATTGCAGGAGGATGCAATCAAAGTGGTTTATAAGAACAAATCATGGCTTGACTGGCTATCATTGTTAAACAAAGGAGCACTGAGAAATGGAAATGTATGGAAGGTAATTAAAGCAGGAGAAGAATTATCAACATAGTAAACGATTAGATACTGATAAAAAAAGGTAATTGAGAGATGAAACCTTATGTAGCAGAAGATGCAATGAAAATGCCCCTCAAAGAAATCGTGGCCTAACTAGCTAACATTGTTACACAAATGAGCGTTAATGATATGGAACTCTTGGGATTTGATCTAAAAATCTTGTTAAGAATGAGATCTCTAGATCGAAATTATCCAAGAACCTAAAAATGATAAGGAATCAACTTAAGGGAAAGTTTTGGAACGGATTATCTTGATGATCAAGATCAAGAGTGAAGAAAACTCGTTTCTAAACTCGTGATTCAAATCACTCCACAAAATAGCTGGATCAAAACTACTTAAATGACTCTAGCATGTAAATCTAAACACAAGAAATGTAATAAAACAAGCACATGGCTTAGAAGCATAATATGCAAACTTCATTTTTAATATTCATATCAAAAATCTTCCATGAATGACTATTTATAGCCTTAAAAATAAACTTTATAATAACCTTGAAAAGTTGTAACTTTCATGGCTAGCAATACCATAATGGCCACTGAACTAAGTGTAACTTATTATCTTAAAGACGATTCTCTAAAACTTAAAAAAAAAAATACAATAAACCCTTCTTAAATCTACATCACATATGGATCTTATCATAGAACGATTAAGACACCTTAGTTATTTCGTATCAGTTAAGATATGGAAATATATGCAAGGCAATTAAAGCAGGAGAGGAATTATTAATGTAGTTGATGATTAGCTACTGTCATAAAAGGATATTAGGAGAAGAAACTTTATGTTGCAGGAAGATGCAATGAAAATTATCAGTAAAAACAAATCGGACGTTATTAAACGAAGTGGCATAAAGAAATCAAAATAAATGCAAGGCAAATAAAGCAGGAGACGAATTATCAACATAGTTTAAGATTTAGAACTGACAAAAAAGGATATTCAGAGATGAAATGAAAATGATTCATAAAAACTAATCTTGATCTAACTAGCTAACATTGTTAGACAGAAGAGCGTTATGAAGTGGAAATATATGCAAGACAATTAAAGCAGGAGAAGAACTATCCATGTACTTGATGATTAGCTATTGCCATAAAAGGATATAGAAGGATGAAACTTTATGTTGCACAAAGCAAATCGTGGCCTGAGCATTAAGAAATGGAAATATATGCACGTATGTGGGACTCTCTATCTTCTTGGGTAGAAAATGGGATAATATTCTTGGGTAGAAAATGGGATAATAGAAAGAACGGGAAGCGCGGGAGCTATAGGGCCAGGAGTCAATCAGACAAGACTTCCTTAGCTTTAGCTTTAAAGACAATTAAAGTAGGAGAGGAACCATCAACTATGCTGATGATTAGCTACTACCATGAAAGGATGAAACAATCATGTTGCAAGAAGATGCAATGAAAGTTATTCTGAAAAACGAAGTGTGTCCAAACTAGCTAAACTGTTATACAAAGGAGCCTTACAAAATGGAAATATAAGCACGGCAATTAAAGCAAGAGAGGAATTAACATCATAGATGATGATTAGCTACTGCCATAAAAGGACACTGAGGGATGAAACTTTATGTTGCAGGAAGATGCAATTAGGATTCTCTGTAAAAACAAATAGTGGTCTAACTAGCTAACATCCTTAAACAAAGGAGCATTCAGAAATGGAAATATGAACAAGACAAATGAGTCAAGATAGAAATTATCAAAATCCCACTTAATACTGATTATGAGAACTGAACATCCGATGCATACACTGCCGATATGGTATGGTAATTAAACAATGGAAAATGCAACTCTCCAAATAACAATACACAGTTGAATCAGGATCTTTCCTATTTATGATCGGATGAAAGGATCAGTTGCATCATATTGATATTTGGCAACCACAGTACAAGCCATACCATTAAAGAACATTAAACTAGACTTGATTTGAAGTTAGAAAGTCATGCATTTGGATATGGTAATTTGTTTATCTCAAACTTTGCAGACTACAAACTCAGGCTAAATGTAATAAATGTCTTAATGCAATTTCTAACGTCAATATATCCATAGCCAAAAATCCATGATCCACATGCCAATAAAAAGCAAACTGATGAGCAAACCAAGTAAACAAGAGAAAACAAACCCGCATTATTGGAGAAATTTGCTGGAGTTGAGTTCAGTTTGAAGTCAATGTGAAGTTTGGTCAGAAGTTCAACATAATCCCCAAGCTTTAAGGTCCAAAATGAGACCTAGATTAGAGTAGTTCAATAGAAAACCAAATATATTGACCAAAAATCAAGTAGAAAAAGCACTACTTGAAGTCTCAAGCACAATAGATCGAGAATATGAGAGATCTTATTATATCAATTCCGTTAATATCAAGAAAAATTTTCACAGAACTCATCAACTACTACCTACAAAAGGTATCATGTATTACACATTGATATGAAATTCACAACGAAAACATCGATTCACAAGGTTCAAAACTATTCCATTCGTCGACACATCAACAATATTCACCCCCCTAACACTTCAATAACCGGATCAGGCGGAGAATCAGGAGTCAAATTCGTCGGACTAGAACTAAGAAACCACAACGACTTAGCAGCCAAAAGTTTCTTCCTCTGCAAGCAGAGTGGACCGTACACCCTCCCAGCAAAGCAAGGAGAAGCATCAACAATGTTCACCTGAAGCAAAGCGGAGTCGATCGGCGCAGTCGGCGGCGAAAGCGATGAGAAACGAGTGGAGTAGATCTGAGATACCAAATTGACACGATTGAATCGAGCGATCATCCGGGAATTCCGAATTTGCGCTAGAGCACCGGGCTTTAGATACTTATGGAACGTCTCGGAGTGAGATTTGGACGATCGGGGAAACGCTCTGGATCTTCGATTCATGTTGCCGGAAATTGGAAGGGAAGAAGGGGATTGGGATGAGGGAAATTGGAGATTGGGGTTTGGGGATTTATGGAGTGTGGGGTGGGCGGGAGGAGGAGGATTGAGCGGGGACAGGCGGGAAAAGTGGTGGAGGGAAAATAAAGTGGGAATGGCGAAGCAAAAAAAAAAAAAAATCAAGAGATTATATAATTTCGTTAAATAACATAATTTTATTATATTGATTAATTTACTTTTTATTAAATCAAATTAGTAAAATAATTATATTTTGAATAATATGCTTTAGATTTTTTTTTTTTTTTTTAGTTTATTAAACAATTAATATTAATATTATTCTCAAATATATGAATTTTAAAAAAAATAAATAAGTTTTTAGTTGTAAATAATTTGCATGATAATTAAATTGAAGAATTAATCATACGGTGTTACATTTCAAAATATTAAATATCATGCACGGTGGCCGCATGTTGAATGTCTCGGTCATGTTTATACAGGACATGTTGTCCATGATTGCA